GAAAGGATTTTCTCTTAACTCAGGCATTTACTAAGGATTATATTTCATGCTAGGAGAATTTCCTAAGTGTCATGACTTTGATACCTAGTTATTGTGTGTGTGTATGTGTATGTGTGTGTGTGTTATATTTTCCATTCCAGGAATACAAAGCAGGTCTCATGTCCATAGCCAGAAATTTTATGGAGGAACGGTGTCACAGCCCAGCCTGTAAGAACACAACTTTAAATCAGGAGTAGGCAGCATGAGACTCTGCAGGCATTCTTGGCCTGCAGTAACCATCATCTATCATTTTTAGTCATGCTAGCTAGGGCTGACACAAACTCAAATAATACTTGTATATATATAACATATAGTTCTCAATTGTTTTAGGGCCATTGCAGCTGGAAGGATTTTTTTCCTCCCATAGAATATAATTGCTCTCTATATTTCTATCATTCTCTCTCTCTCCCTCCCTCCCTCTCTCTCTCCACAATGCATTCCTATGTCACATTAAAAACAAAATAGAACAAAACCTAATGGCTTCCTATCTAAAGGTGTTTTGCTCACAATGGCCTCTTACTGTGAAAATCTTCCATAAATATTTTGTATTTAAAAAAAAAATACCAGCAGTTTCAGGCTTGGTATCAGGCTGTATCAGGGTTCACAACTCTGTGGGTGTCATGATTTCCTAAAACAATAAATGAATTTGCATGATCCCCATATGAATGCAACCAATTACTTCATTAAGGCTAGGGTTGGGCAGAAATAAACGTGCCAGTTACTTTTAATAATTAAAATTTAGTGTATGTATCAAATAAAACAATGATAGAACCTAGCAATTTCATAAAATAAACCTTTTTCTTGGAAATAAGCAATAAAATTACATGTATGTTTAATGGGAAGGATACTTGGCTTTTTTGTATATATAATTCCACATTGTTTTGGGTCAACTTGTCCTTGTACAACTGCTCCTATAGCAGACATTGGCTTTGTTGTTCGCTTGTCTAGGTAAATCAGGAACAAGTCCTGCTAATGATCCAGAGTTCGCTGTGCAACCCATCAGGCCATGTTCTTGGCACTCTACTTTATTTGAAGGCATCAGCTGTTAGGCTGCCCAGGTAGAAGAGTGAATTTTGAAGGCTGTCCAACTTCAAGTGGACAAGCTAAAGCTGTGGCAGAACAAGCAAGCTGCTTGGTTGTCTAAACAGAAGGGGGAAAGTTCTGACAGTAATCCAATTATGGGTACAAACCTTTAGATTGGCACAAGCAAAGCTGGAGCCAGACTATATTCTAGGTTTTTGTTTGGGTTTGATTGGACAAGCTGGCTCATCCAGAATTGACTGAATATGCTTTCTGACTTATGGTCTTTCTTCTGTGCACAACCCGTCTCCAAATTTGCAAGCCTCAACCCCCACCCCCAGTTGCCTGCAATGTTGGAGGGGGTTTGGAACCCAAAGTTTAATCTCCCCTGTTTTATATAAAATGAAATGAATATAAAATTACTTTTAAATATCTTGAAAAAAAATATTACTCCTATATTTAATGTTTTGTAACTGTAAAAAAATATTGACTAGAACTGATTATTCAAGTATACTATTATCATGCTCAAATGGGCTTAAAAACAAACAGCAGCCTCCACCCTAAGGAGGAAAACCTTTCATTTCACTCATGTATATGACAGTGTGTCAAATGTTGTTGAATTTTTATTTTATTTTATTTTATTTTGCTTTAATTTATATGCCGCCCTTCTCCGGAGACTCAGGGCGGTTTACAATGCGTTAAGCAATAGCCTTCATACTTTTGTATATTTATACAAAGTCAGCTTATTGCCCCCACAATCTGGGTCCTCATTTCACCTACCTTTGAAAGGATGGAAGGCTGAGTCAACCTTGAGCCTGGTGAGATTTGAACTTGCAGTAATTGCAAGCAGCAGTTGTTAATAACAGTGCTTTAGTCCACTGTACTACAGGCTCTTGTTAATTTGTGTCACTGCAAAGGACAAGAATGTCTCAGTCAACTAAAAGTCTGCATGCACTGGATAGCAACAATATCTATACTGACTAGAAATTATGGGAATTGTATGTCAGGACATTAGGTTGGGAAAAGCTTAGAATAATTTATAATAAAGTTATATTCAGTCTTTTGCAAGCTGTGGATTTTCATCTTCTTTCATTCTAATTTTGTTTGGCCTTACCACATTTCATTTAGGAGCAACATCAGATATGTCTAACTCCCTTTCCCCATTCTCATTTTCAACAACCACTAGTTGATGTAGCTAGTTGCCATCAAGATAGCAATATTGTACATGCATAACATGTTATTTAAAGAACTAATTGTGTGTCATTGGAATAAACTTACTCTAACACTTCCCTGCAAGACAGCTGGCACTTTTCTTTACTAAAAGGCAAGGCACACGGGAAGGTTTTCATTTACCATTAGGAGAGATCTTGGAGAGGATGACCTCTCTAGACACTGCAATTATTTTCCAAGTAATAATAGGCTTTTCTTCCTGGATTGCTTAAACACCCTAATGATAAAAGACAAATTTAAAAACTCCAGGCTTATTAAAGAAAAAGCAGCAATGATCATTTTCTAAAAATAAGGATTCACTTTTGGCAAGGAATTTTGGCCACTGGGATCCAGAAGAGGAGCCTTTTCTACTGTGGCTCCTCCTCTCTGGAGCATCATGCTCCCTGAGATGAGATTCTCACCACCCTTATGGCTTTCCGAAAGGCTTTGAAGACATGGCTGTGCCAACTAGCCTGGGACCCCAAAGGGGGTGTGGTAATTTGGAGGTGGCTAATGGAGTGAATAACACCCCACGTCCTCCATGTGTGCACTTTGCTCCCTCCCTCTCCATTCTGCTTTTATTTTAATTGAATTTTAAACAATCAATACCTTATTTATTGTTTTATGTTTTATAGTGTATTTTAGTTGAATGACTGTAAGCAGCCTAGTGTCACCTCCATTGAAATGAGCAGCATACAAGTTTAATAAATAAATACTAATAATAAAAAGGAAACAAGTCATATTACCATGTGAAAAAAGCTTGCACAATTTTTTGTCTAATTTTGAGAGGTTCTCTTCTAATCATGATTTCTCTGTGGATTTCCTGGATCAATGCAGCTAGTGTTATTACTCAAGTAGAGCGCTAGAAAATATATCTAGCTCAGAGTTCTTGATGCACCCCAAGCTTGCTTCTTTCCTTGCAGATGGTTCATTGCTATGCTTACTTAATTTGTTAATCATTTAAAAACCTGTCTTTTCTTTTCTTTCTTAAACAGACTTTTGAAGTAATTAAAACCCATTCCTCAGGTAGAGAAATATAAGTCAATTGAAATGTCTTTGAATATTAGTAGCTCGGGTTGATAGTTATGTTATTGGTTGAGCTTTGTGATTTGGTTGCAAACGTTTCATCCCCATTTGAGGAGACATCTTCAGTGTGCTTTAGATTGTGCTTGTCTGGGGGAGCACTGACCTTTAAATACCTTTTTGATTTCGTCTGGTCTGATTTTGGCTTGTGTGATTGGCTGGTTATAGTTGCTGAGTCATAGTCTTTGGTTTTAAGTACCATCCGTGCGATGTAAATTAGTGCTGGGGTTGTTGTTTGGATGTCTTCTGATGATGTTATGCTCTGGTTTCAGATAGATTTGATTGGCTACGTGTGATGTGGTCCGATTTCTTGTGATCTGTCGAGTTATAACTTTGTTTGCAGTGTGGCTGTTCCTTGCTTTTCCACCAATAAATCAATAAACAGACACATTGACATCAACCCAATCTACCAAACACTTAGAATGAAAGAACAACATAAATCACAATCCCGAAGGTAGCATTTAAATACCAATGATCAGGACTCAGAAAGGTATTTAAAGGCCAGTACTCCCGCAGACAAGCACCATCCAAAACACACTGAAGATGTCTCCTCGAATGGGGATGAAACGTTTGATGTTTGTAGCCAAATCACCAAGCTCAGAACTCAAACCAACAACTGCCCAGCCCTGAAAAAGTTAGATAACCCCAGATAAATGCTAAGTAGTTTTTCCTTTTTCAAATCCTTGGGGAGTGAGTAAAGAACTAGTCAAGCCACAACCAGCTTGGTACCTAAATATTAGTTGAGTTGCTCTAGAATGATTAACCCTCATTTCATCTTGCCATATTGCTTCTAAAGACTGAGGGATCCCACAAGTTCATTTGTTTTAGTAGGGAATCCACAGCTTTGCTAGCCATGGGTCTTCGTGTATTTAGATTGTTCTCAAAGAGATCCAATCACTTCTGTATAGAGGGCTTTACGTGGATTCTTAGGACTCTTCCCACACTTGTATCGCCCATTATAATCATCTTTCGAAAGCTTAAAATACAATGGCCCCCATATTACAGATCAGAGGAGATGGAGCTCCGGTATCCGGTCTCAGGTTCCCTCTCAACCCTGGCCAAGGCGAGATCTGACCCAGGGGCTGCCCGTGCACTGCTCCCCAAAAGTCTCCCGCTCTGAGCAAAAAAAACAACAGCCGCGCCCGTTTTTCAGCCCAGTTCAAGAAGACTCCAGGCAGCTCCGCGTCTTCGGAGCCGGGGAGCGCTTGCGCATTCCGCCCCGCTTCGCGAGCAACCGTCCAGTGCTAAAACTCCCGTCGGGCTCTTCAGCCTTAAGCGGGGCTGCAAGAGCTCAGATCCCTCGCGTGAGGCCCCTGGAACAAAACGGGGCTTTCCCTTCCTTTATCAGGAGCGCAAAGCCGTCGGCGGGTCAACATCCCTTCTTATCCACGACGCGCGTCCCTCCTCCTCCACTTCACTTAGCGAGGGTGTCGGGGTTTAAGAGAGCTCCCAGTCTGCCCAGTTGAGAGAGGCTTAGCCGGCTTGCTTTATTCTCTACCGGCGCACGGGACACGCGGGCTTTTTGCCTCCCTGAACCCAGGTTCTGTTTAAACAAGGTTAAGCGGCGTCCTCGGTTCAGAGCCAGCATAGTGGTGCTTCCCTCACCTGCCAGGGCAAGGGGCAGGCGCGGGGGGTGGGGGAAAGGGGTGTCGCGGGTCTTGGCTCGTTGTTAGTTGGAGACGTCTTTGCTGCGGGTGGCCAAGGGGAGCCTTCCGGACCCTTGCTGTCGTTCCTCCCCCCCTTTCTTCCCGGCTTCCCCCGGGGGTCCCTGTCCCCCTTTTTTTGGCTACTCAAGGAACCAAAATAGTAGCCCTCGCGGCGACCTAATGATTGGGTGAGGTGCCATTACATCATGTTGCCTGGGCTGCCTCCCTGGTTTTCTCGCGCTGAGGAGAAAAGGGCGCGCGCGCGCTTCTTAGTGGGAGCGGGAAGCACATCTGGGAAACCGCAGGCGGCGGCGACGGCGCGAGGCAGGGAGAGAGCTGCGCGCGGGAGCTTCCCTTCTTCTTGACCAGCCGGGGGCTCCTAACTCCTGGGGAGTAGGGTGGGGGGTGGGGGCTCTGAGAAGACGAGCGTGGAGGGTGACGAGATGCTCCGAGGCAAGTCCCAGGAAGCAGAGCCCGGAGGGCGAGGGGACCACTTTCTCCGCTGACCGCCGCTCGCTTATCCAAGCGCAGGAAAATGGGCTTTGAGAACGCCACGGAGAAGCGCTGGGGGATGGCTGGTAAGTTTTAGCCCGGGAAAGCAAGCGCCTCCTCTTGTCTCGCCTCGCCTGAGGGGACCCGACGGCCGTGCCACTCTTCTTTCCTTAAGGGGCCACCGGGTTACCGTTCACTCAACCCCGCCCGCGGACATCGAGGTAACCCCGGGCAGGCAAGAAGAGAGGAAGCCGCGCGACTCCAACGTCGGCTGCCCTCCTGGCTTCTTTGAGCTGTAGGAACCTCGAGAGCCTCGAAGGGGATCCATGAGTGACCTCTGCCTCCAGACGGAGGACCAAAGCTTTTCGGGGCCATCATCACTTAAGAGAACCCGAAGATCAAGGGGGCCAGCAGGTGTCACGTGGCGTAGAGGCAATGACCTCCAAAAGGCAAACAATTAGGAGGTTTTTTTGGGGGGTGGGCAATCAGAAGAAAATGTGTGTGTGTGGGGGGGGGGTGTTTTAGAGGGAAGAGAAAGCTGTACTCCTTCCTTTTAACTTTCCTAGATTGCGTTGCCTCTGCTGCTTTCTTTCCTTTCTTTTTTCGTTTTGTTCTTTCTTTCTGATCTTCGAGCGCCCATGTGTTGAGAGGCAAACAGAAAGTGGCATGTTTCCCCACATCTGGTGACCTCCAGAGGTGCTGAATGACAACTCTTTATGCCTCCCCGGTTGGCGTGGCTGTGGGCACCAGTCAGAGAGGGCTGGGATGCGAATCTAAATAAAACAGATGAAGGCCGGTAACTCTCACAATAGCAGCAACAGATCTTGGAATGAGGTGAATAGGGAACAAGGATAATTGCGAGTTGGCACCAGATTTTCCTTTGCTCCACCGAAATGGGGGGTTGGTGGGTGGGTGGGTGGGTGGGAAGTAACCTGTAAGAGCAGGAGAGGGGTAGGATAGACTGGCTCTTTGCTTTGATTTTTGGGTTGGCTCAGCAGCAGATACTGCAGTCCTAAACAAGGGGACAGACACCTGACAGCTTAGTCTGAATAAGAATCATTGCATTCTTCGTGGTCAGAACTTAATCCTGTAAGGTAATAGAATGGTTTGATCTGCAATGAGAGATATTACCTCTGCATTTAAAAAAAAATGTTTGGACAATGACAATTTATCCCCCCTCCATCCCATCCTATATTTGAAAGAAAGTATGGTTCTCCTGGTTGGCTTGAGTCTGAAATAATTATAGGGATCAACTCTCTCTCCCTGCAATCACAGGCCCCTTGTACTTATCTTCCTCCTTTTTGATTCTCCCTCCCTTATTTTTCCAAATCCATGGAAAAGACAGAAAATAATTTGCAAAAATCTCTTATTAGAGAATAAATTTCTGACAACCTATCTACCCCCAAATTAGAGAGTTTAATGCTGGGTCCCTTGACTGAGTTGCCATTTTCAGATCCAGGATTATGTAAATATGGATTATCCTTTTGAATAAACCAGTGCCTTTAAGTAAGAAGAATTTGACAACCGTGGTGGATCTCAAAAAGCTAAGCAAGATTAGATTTACAGTAGTCAGCGCTATAATGAGAGACCACTAGGAAATACCACTAGGCTAACATTTAAATTGGGATTTTTTTAAAAAATCCCCCAAATATTTGCATGCTGTTGCCAAGAAAATTGCTTGGATGTGTCTATGAAATAAAAAGGAATCGATTTTGACTTAATGGAGTAATTACTTACTTGTTTAAGTTGCTTTTTTCATTTCTATTCCACTGTGGACCTTTAGGGGTAGGGAGCGTTGCTCCCTATGGCCAATTTAAAAAAAGATAGGAGTATCTGATTAGTATATTAGCATTTAATGAGTAATACATATATGGAATTCACTACTGTACAGATCACATGGAAGTCTGGATACTTATAGTCATTGATCTTACTCATTACTTAATCACTTTTAAATATTAATAATGTGACTATCTTAAAACGAACTTCTATCTTATATTAGTAAATGTGACTATAAACACATATAGAAATTAGGTTTACTTGTTTTTATCATTTTAAGAGCACTCTTTCACACTTTCTGCTCCATGGTATTTCAGATATAATTTTCGGCAATAGAGAAGCATCATAACATTAGCCTTGTGGATTTAACTACACGAGAGGAGATATGAGAGAGGCAAAGGTTTCAGAATATGCATATTTACAAAGCTATTTCAGACTAAGGGCAAATAATGAGCTGAAACATGACATATTGTATTTTACTGCAAGCATCATAGTTTTGATGGCAAGAAGGGGGAGCATGTGGATATGCTTGCACTCACAAGCATATTTGCATAGTTGTACCTATTGAAGTATATATGATACATATGGTGGGGAAAGTTGGCTGAGGAGGAACTCATGATCTATATCACAATGCACTAATTTAAACATCAGAGGCAAAGTAATTGATAAATTATTAAAAAGCACTTTTGGTCCAAGGGTATTTGGATATTTGGAAGGGGGGAAACTAATAGTATCCTCTAACATTGCATTTCAAAACTAAAAAGCTGGCTCCACAAATTCACCAAAATAGGATATAAATTGTAATATTTTAAAATATATTTTGGTATATATTTCTTTCAATAAAACTCAGTTCTGTTGCATTCCATGAAACTTACTCACAAGTAAATAGATACAAGACTGTAGTCTGGAAATCGCAAAATGTGAATGATTTCCTCTCTTCACAGATGCATTCTTTTATTTTTGCCAGTCTTTATTTCCAGGGTATCTGGATACAAATTTCTTTTCTCTGATGACCCATACTTGAACTATATCCATTTATTTGTATATTTATTTTAATAACTATGGCATTGTCCAGAAGTCATTACTCCCTTCTTACTGAAGGATGTAAAATGACTCAAAATAGCCCTGGATAGCATAGATAACATGAGGTCCTAAAATCACAATCTTCCCATTGCTATGAACGTATTTGAACAATGGTTTCGTTTGGCTTCTACTAAAAACTTTTGTATGGCTTACTGTTATAAAGGTGACATGACAATAAATGCCTCTTGATATCTTGGCATCTTAGTAGCCACTTTGTTTCTACTTTTCTCTGCCAAAGAAATGTTGATTTTTTAGAAGTATGTCCTATCATCTATCCACAGAAGTCTGTTGATGATGGTTGGTTACTCTCCAATCATCTATCCACAGAAGTCTGTTGGTGCTAGTAATGGCGCATCAGTTTTACTCAATTTTGTGCCTCCAAGATGTGTTGGATTACATCATTCACAGCTGATATGTCCAATGAATAGACAAGATAGCCAAGGGAGTTATTTATTGTTAGCTGCTTTGAAGACCACTTTTCTCGTTGAAATTGCGTAATAGGAAGTCTATTATTATAGTTGTTATTTTGGCCAAGAATAGTGGCCATACATTTTTAAAACAAAATAGCTACAGGGCATCTAGTTGGGGAAAGGTGATCTTTATAAAAGTGGGCTGATGGAAGTAGAAGTCCCGATTAAGTTAGACGTGAAAAAGTTAGTTAGATCACGTATAAAAAGGCATAAAGTAAAAACATCTGGTGTCACTTCCCATCCCACACATATTTGTGTTAAAATCACACACACACACACAAATATATATACGTTCTTATTACACAAATGCCATGTGCAAAAATAATTGTCCATGTGACGTTGATTTAGAAGATATTTATTGCAGTCGGGCTAATTAAAGATAAATGGAACCCTAATTTGCCAAAAATAACCTGGATTTGGAGATGTGTCAAATAACTTTTATTTTTTAGGTTGCTACATTTGAAATTCAATTACATAAGCTTTTATTAATTGATTCATAAGGTTAAATTTGAAATCTTTTGAAACTCATGGCATGTTCATGACACAAGTGATTATTAAGTCAGAATGCACAAACATGCATATATATACTTGATTTATCAAATGCAAACCTGATAAAAATTAACATGTTGGTTTTCAGCATATGCTACAACCAAAAATGTTATGTTACTCAGTTTTGTTTGATTACTTGTAAGTAATCCTAGTTAATGGATATGGAACAAACAGACCAAATCTATTGTATGTCTCATGTTGGTTATACACTAATTTAATTGTCATGATGTTCCTAAACATAACTGGGATTTGTAACTAGGGACAGTTATTAAGAAGCTCATATTCCCAGTGCTACACATAAAGCTACAGTCCTATGTTTCATGATCTACATTTACTAATCTGCTCTAAATTATTTGAATATTACATAGCCCCCTCTCTAAACAAGTGGTAAATATAAATTCTCGGTTTACTTGAAAGCTCCTAATAACAACAAGTCCTACTGATAAAGAAAGCAATGTTAGTTTCAGTTTAGCAAAACGGCCCATATTCTATAAAGGGCTCCATGTGCTAGACAACAAATTACAAGGTACAGATCTTTTGACAAATGTTGTGCCTTAATTCTAGGTAGAATCAAATAGAATAAAAGAGGCGGCACACCTCATGCCACTAATAGAATGGGATCCACTATTTTCATAAGAAAAGGCAAAGAAAAACAAAGATTGGGTAAAGCTCATGTTCAACTGCTTCTTCAAGAGATAATTACTCAAGTGTCTGAATTTAAACGTATCTATTCTCAGGGCCTACCAGGCATACCATTGTGCTCCTACCAAATTGATTCTGGCCCACATGTCATTGGCTGCTGTTGGTTAGCTGAGCAAATTAAGTTGTGTGTTGTAGAAAGAATAGTTCTAATTCCATCACACATTTTGTCCAGTCAGTCACAAATGCAGTCCCTTCTCCTATTGGTGCTTCTGCCAATACAATAGATAGAGTGATAGGGTCAGAAATAAAAATTCTGGGAACAGTCCCCACCTGTTCTCTGCAGGAAGTATCTACCTACCTACCTACCTACTACCTACCTACCTACCTATCTCTCTATCTCTCTATCTATCATCTATCTATCTAATCTCCACCTTTATTATTTTTATAACTAACTCAAGGTGGCAAATGTACATAATATTCCTTCCTTTTCTTATTTTTATCACAACAATAATCCAGTGAGATAGATTGGACTGAGAAAGAGTGACTGATCCAAAGTGACCCAGCTG